GGCGCCATCTTTATTATGGTTTCTTTTATTTAAATATGAAAAAAATGAAGTCCAAAATTTGTTTTAACATATTGTCCATTGTCCAAATTTATACCACCGTACATTAGAGAACATTGATGTTTTTGTATCTCCAAGGCTTCACAAACATTTCTTTTAAATTTTTTAGCCTCAACTTTAAGTGTTTTTACTTAATCCCATTCAATGCCCTCACTGCAATTTACTTTATGCAAAGCTAATGCAGACTGGTTTAACTTGCCTTCAGTCAAAAATTTTTGGTGTTGTTGAACCCTTGTTTGTATTTTAAGTTTTGATATACCAACATACACTTTAGAGCATTTGCACCTTATTAAATAGGTTCCTGGTTGGCTGTTGCATGGTAATTTTGATTTATTTTTAGACGTTAATAGCGTTTTTAGGTTAGTATTTGATTTAAAAAAAGTTCTGTAACTAGCTTTTCTGAATATTCTTCTAAGTCTGGAAGATATTATTGGTATCCATGGTAAAGAGATTGTAGGAAGTTTATTAGGGTTTGATAGAATTTCATTTTTATTTGCTATATGTTTTTTTCGAACCTGATAAGAAATATCTTTAAGCATTTTTTCGTTGTACCTGTTTTCAGCAAACACTTGAATTAAAAAATTTATCTTATATTTTAAATGATTTTTGCTGCATATTGAGTTAGCTCTGTGTATCTGTATCTGTTGAATATTGGGACTTTTGGGACTGTGGTTAGAATGTGGTTTGATTTGGATATTGGTTATAGCATCTTCCTGTAAACCTTGAAATCATATTTTCCTTGTGTATTATTAGTAACAGTTATATTTAGAAAGTTAAGTATCTTATTTTTGTTTTCAACTTCAATAGTATAATTTAAAGAAGGTTGTTGTCTGTTAAGAATTGTTTGGAACTGTTCCGATTGATTTAATTTAGAAAACCTAGTGTAGCTATCATCTACATATCTATGTAAGGTTTTAATATCAATTGAAGGAATCATTGTCATTGCTATTTTTATTGCATTGTCCTAATGGTATTGTAAAAAAGATTCCGCCAAAACAATCATAAAAGACAATCCAATTGGGCCTGAGTTCTCTAACTCATGAATCTCACTGTTCCACAAGAAATAACAATGAAACAAACAAAATTCTATTAGTTGTTTTGTTTTAGTTAAAGTAAGTTTAGTTGAATTTTTGTAAGAAAGGCTTTTTATTAATTAAATTTGCTTCTTTTAATGGTATTGATGGGTATAAGTTCACAATATCAAAGGATACCTGTATTTCATCTTTTTCAATTAACAACGACTTAATTTTGTTAATAAAGTCTTTTAAATTTTTTATCTCAATAGGATTTTCATTTAAGACTGGTTGTATTCTTTTAACCAAGTAGTTTGAAATTTCGTAACAAGATGTTCCAATAGTTGATACAACGACTCTCATCCGGTAAGTTTTATCTTGTTTATGAGCTTTAATTAGCCCATTCAAACGTGGTGGGACAGGATCACTTGGATATATGCTTTCATATTCATCATTAGAAAAATGTTGCTTTTTGTTAAACTTTGAAAGGAAAGACTTTATTTTAGCTGCATAATTTAAAGTGGGATCAATACAAATACTTTTTGTTGGGCCAATCTGTTCTCTAATTTTTTCAATTGCTTTATCATGTTCTATTCTTATGAATCCTATTCCTTTATCAAATGGATAAATATCAATTTTCTTGTCTTAATTACATTCGTTAAATGCTTTTCTTTGATCTCTTGTTAGATTATAATTAATTTTTTTGCCCATTTTAAGTTCTCTCAGTAAATTTTTCCTTGAAAAAAAGTTTAAATCTAAAATGAAAAATAATACTTCTTGCTTTCCTTGAATTTACAGGACAATTGATTCGTAAAGATTTCAGAATTAACTTATTAACGTATTTTTGTAAAAATGTAAATTGGTTTTTAGATTTAGCTATCGACTTCTTCAAATTAAATGTTGATTACAATATATTACTTGCCATTAATAATGTTATATTATATATATATATATATATATATATATATATATATATATATATATATATATATATATATATATATATATATATATATATATGTATATATATTACCCTCGGATTTAGGGTCAGCAATGCTGACCTAACTGCCGATCTGAAAGTGTTTAAGGTCGGTAAAAATTTGCTGATCTTGTTTTTATGTTTTATGGTCAGACATTTGTATCAAATAATTTTTGCCGACCTGATGCCGACCTCAAAAAGATTGAGGTTGCCAATAATTTGCCGATCTCATTTTTCCTAATTCCGAGAGTTATATATATATATATATATATATATATATATATATATATATATATATATATATATATATATATATATAATAAAATTTTCATTTCTATATCTCCATTTCTATAAATTTCTGGAGATCGCTTCTTTCTAACTATCATTTTATTAGTCTTCTTTCAATTTTTATTTCTAATTTTGATGGAAAATCTACATATTATAAAATGCACAGAGTGAGCCATAAGGAGAGAATAGTCTTTGATTGCCATAAGGAGAGAGCAGTCTTTGTTAGAATTCCCCAGCACCACAGAACATTTTTTACTGTAATACACTGATATATTTGATAATTTTGTTAACTACAACTCCTTAAACCATACACGCTTAAAATCATTGAAGTTCAATAACTCAAAGAAAAATTTAAATAAAGTTTGTTTCAAGCAAAATTAAATGCAAATCAGAAATTTCTTTGAAATTTTAAAATATCTTAAAATATAAAAGAATAAAAGAAAAAAAATTTAATTATAGAAGAAAAAATTTCGATCACTCAAGATCATAAATCGTACATGTTTTATTTGTTTTAAACATAATGAGTTTGGTTTCCAGGAACAACAAAAATTACATATCTTACATAGTGTTATCTATGAAACTTATAAGATGATCTTTAAATGTTTTAAAGTCCTTGAATGTTGACAAGCTTTGTTAAAATTATTTCAAATTTTGAATTTTATTGAAATTATGGTAATGGAGCATTTGACACCAGGGTTGGCAAAAAAACCAAACCCAAAAAAAACCAACCCAAAAACACCCACCTTGAAAAATCTCCAAAAAAACCAAAATATATTTGGGTTTTTTTAAAAATGATCTATTTTACAACTGATAAGTCTGATTGTAACTCTTATAAATACTTTATTATCAACAGGTAAATTTACAAGTACTGTAAATATTATACTGTAAATACTCTTGTAAACACTGTATTTATATACAAAATGGTATTTAGAATATATTTTTGAGTTCAAACTCCTCATAGAATACCGATCAATCTTTTTTTCATAGAAAGTTAATAATTTATTATTTTTTTAAATCATATAGAAAGTTAAATACTATTGAAATATGCATTAAAATATTAAATTAGTTAAACATTTATAAAGGATATAAAAATATTTCAAAGTACAAAATATTACTAGTTATTTAGTATCTTTGCTCTCCTCTCAAATGCCTATATTTCCTAACAAGCGTTTTATATATGTCATTTTATATTGGTATTTGATCTTTATTTTTTTAAAGCTTTTTGATCTTTATTTTTTTAAAGCATGCGGCAGTGGTGTAGTGGTAAGAGCGCTCGCTTTGTAAGCGAGAGGTTCGGAGTTCGACTCCCACCACGTCCCTGGAAGTACCGCGCTCAACTTAGTTTCTCTGCGCAGCGGCCTTGCTTGTCAAGGTTCGTGTTTCGGAGTTAAAGAGTTGAGAGAGGGTTGTACCACGAAATACAACAAAAAAAAAAAAAAAAAAGAGTAGCCTCCTCGACTGTAGTGGCCCCCTCGGGCCTTGGGGAGGTGAATAATGTAAAAAAAAAAAAAAAAAAAAAAAAGCTTATGTTGTCAACTGCAAACTTCAGTACAAAGCTACAAGCATGATAAAACATATATAAAAATTGTTAAACTTTATATGTAGTCTAGAAATGGAAGGTTGCTAGGCAAAAAAAAAAATGCTTTACCAGGTTGTGGACTTTTCTTTGTTAAGTGCATAAAACTTTATAGCATAAAAAAAAAAGTGCAAGCAAGTTTACAGCTCATTCAATGTGAGAACATGTTGGAAATTTGTATGCACTTCACAAGGACAAGAATTGTTGGTAAAAATGATACTCTTTCTCATCTGTCTATTTTACAGGTTTTAAATATTTTATATCAGCTACAAGTTTACAACATGTACCATTAACAAGGGTGACTATGAACAGCCGGTTGAAAATGAACATCAATACCTAGTTTGCTAAAAGGCGAAGAAACACACACAGTAGAACTATATATTGTGTTACTTTGATTCAATTGCTAAACTGAGGTGATAAAACATCTTCAAGGAAAAAAAAAAGAATCTGGTGGTGAAGGCACTGTAATGGTTCTTAACAAATTTGTTTTAGATATTCTTAAGAACAATCTAAGTATAGACACAAATCCATTTGCAAAACATATCTATCCATAATCTAAAAAATAAAAACATGAAGTGTCAATGTCACACCAAATAGGCTAATAATTACTCTCACACCGTTTTAAAAATACAATTATGATCAAATAAAATAAGAAAATTATGATAATTACTGCATAAATTTGATCAGGCTGATAACTGTTCCAATGTTAGTAAAAATGGTAATGTTATGTTCTAAGTTAATGATTGAGATAAAAAAATTTAAAAAAATAAGTTGCTCCCTTGACTAAAGTGGTCACTGGAGTAATAGGGAGGTGAATTTATGAAATTAAAAAAAAAAATTACTATACACATACAATTATAAAAATTTTGTATTTTGATCGGTTTTTAAAATAATTCAAAAAACCCATTAAACCCAATAAAACTCAAAAAAAAACATTTGGGTTGGGTTTTTTCCAACCCTGACTTGACACAGCACTTGACGTTAAAATTTATTATTATTATTATTATTATTACGTTATAATTAAAGTACAACTTTTTAAAATAACCAATATTCACCAACATAAAAGAATTTAAACTTTTATTTCAAGGTCAATGCTTATACTAACCATGGAAAAAACTCTGGTGAATGGAGTGAATGGATTGAAGAAACAACTTTAGAAGGAAGTAAGTTGATTTATTGTATTTTATAATAAGCCATGTACATGGCAGTATTGATAAAAATCTTTTATGACATATTGGTTAATTTATAAACTTTGTTTTGATTTCTTTAATTTATTTAACTAGAGTATTAATTTGATAGTTTCTTCATATTAAAGGAATCCCCATGTGCTGAGACAAGTTACGTTTATTTCTTAAATAAACTTTAGAAAATAAGTTAAGAGATAATTAAACTTACCAAAAATAATTATTTATCAAGATTTCAACAAAAAATATTTTCATATTTAGCAAAGATACCTTTAAGATACCTTTATGGATGAAAATGAAGTTTTTGTTTTCAACCAACAGCTTTTGTATTTTCAACCAACAACTTTTGTATTTCAAGTTTCCAATTAAACTTATTACCTACAAAAAAACTTAATTTGTTGTTTCTTTTTTCTCAAGCATGCAGTTATGTTTTTTTTTTTTTAATCTTAACTTATTTTAATCAAAGACTCCTTCAACTATCAACATTTTAAATTACTTGATTAAGGTACAATTTCTCTTTTCTTTATCATAAAAATTCTCCTTTATCTTCAACTTACTATGTTACTTGCTTTCTCTATATAACTTTAATAATATTTTTTTAATTTATTATACAAATGTTTTTGATATCATATGCAAATAAAGCAAACTCTAAAGGTATTTCAAATTTAAAAAAATTCCTTTAAGTTTTGCACTTACCTCACAGTTTTCCTTAAAAATTGATTGAAGATATTTTATTGTTAAAAATATTTTCTTTATAAAGAAAATATTTTTAACAATAAAATATCTATGTTAAATAAATATGTGTTCTTTCAATTAATTTTTAGTTTTACTTTTTTATGTTTTTTTGTTTTTGTTTTTAATTTTCTGTTTTTTTTTAATTGTAAATTTTTTTCTAAATTACTTTAATTTTTATTTGTTCAAGCCATCTTTATTTAGATCCATCTGTTGTTAGAAACCTTACTGCTTCAGCAATATCTAAAGAAAACATCACGTTGAAATGGTACCATCCAGAAATTCCCAATGGCATCATTACCAATTACACTGTTGAATATGGAGAGTTTGAATCACCAAACATTACTTCACTTTCTTTTTTAGTATTTAAAAGCCATTTTGATATGCATACATTTGCTGTTCAAATTGAACAATTAAAAAATTATCGAAAGTATAAATTTAGGGTGAGTGTGACCATATTCTAAACATTATTATGTTACCTAAAGAATAAATATTGCCATAATTTAGCATTTTATAAAGGTGTAGTATTTTTTTTGTTTATTTACTATTTGTGTGGTAATTTTATATAAACTTTTAATAGCTGTTTGTAAATAGTCATTTGTTTGTAAAATATTAATAATAGGTATTAAATGTGCATACATATATGCATGCATGCATTGCATACATACATACATACATACATACATACATACATACATACATACATACATACATACATACATACATACATATATACATACTTACATACATACATACATACATACATACATACATACATACATACATACATACATACATACATACATACATACATACATACATACTTACACAAAGTAAAAATTGAGGACCTTTTTTTTTTATGTTTTTATGGCAAAAAATTTTTTTTTTTGCAAAAAAAATGCTAGTTTTCTGCAGTTTGCTGGAACAAGGGGGTACCGCTGTCCGAATTTTTCTCCTAGAATAGGCCCTATATAAATATGTATATATATATATATATATATATATATATATATATATATATATATATATATATATATATATATATATATATATATATATATATATATATACATATATATATATATATATATATATATATATATATATATAATTGCATTCTATTAAAATAAGAAAACATAAAACATTTTTTGCAGCAAAAACATTTATACCTCTTTGTTAAAGTTTTTATCAAATAAGTAATAAACTAAAATAAATAAAAAAACTAGTGTGAAAACCCAAAGACAACGCTGGACCAAAGAATTTTTTCACAGCGCAATAAATGACATGTTACAAACATATGATTACAACAAGTATAAAACTAAGTTTTTAATTTAATAACACATTTGTAAATATGTATATATATACACATGTATAAAGATATTTATATATGTATATACACATGTTTTTAAGGATATTTAAAACATATTAAGAGAAAGATAATATAAAAACAATGAGAAATATATATTAAATTTTTTTTTGAAGAAATTAATCATATATAAAATAAGAAAAAAAAGCTGCTCATAAGTTTAACACACTTGGGTTTGAAGTTGTTTAAGGTTGAACCTTAATAAAGAATGTGACCACCTCTATTTTTTATGCATAATGAACATCTTCTTATAGAATCGAAAAGTCAAAGCCAATATTCAACTGTCAAGTCATTAAACATTAAACAACCTTTTTAAATTTTCTTTTAGATTTTCAGCTGAAGTTACTGGTTCTTTGGTAAGTTTTCAGTTCAACTCAGTCCAAACATTTTCAATTGAATTCAGATCAGGTGATTTAGCTGGCCACTGAAGTACCTTGATATTGTTTTGCTCAAACCATTCTGTTACAGATTTTGCTTTTTGACACGGAGCATTGTCTTGTTGAAACATCCACTCTGGCTCATTACCAAAAAAAATGCTCTTGGTAGGCATTAAGTAGTTTTCAATGATGTCAATGTATCTATGTTGGTCCATTCGACCACTGTATAACATGTATAGACCTGGCTCATCATATGTGATGCAGCCTCAAATACCCACTGCACCACCTCCACCTTGTAGTGGTGCAAAACAGTGACTATTATACTTTTCATTGTGGTGCCTACGGACAAGTACTTTGTTTTTACGATTTAGGATGGTGTAGTTAGATTCATCACTAAAAACAATTTTTTTTAATTACTCATTTTTAAAATCACTTTGTAAAACTTAATTCATTTTAAACGGTCTGTTGGTTTTAATAGTGGTTTTCTAGCAGCAACATAGTGCCACAGCTTATGGTCTATTAGTCCTCTATTAACTGTTTGCCTTGATATTTGATTTTTGAGTGCCAGGTTTATTTTTTGTGCAATCTGTTTTACTGAGTATTTAGGATTTTTTCTGGTAATTCTATAAATAGATTTTTCATTAGTGATATTTGACTTTCTTGGTCGTCCACAATGCTTTTTGTCAGCAGTATGACCAGTTTCATTAAACTGGTCGTACTGTTGACAATAGTTAAAGTTTAAAGCAAAAGTTCTACTTACACATGATGGTGAAACGCACTTTAAAATTCAAGATATTTTAATGTTAGAGTTACCTCCAATATTAAAGCCAATAATATGTTGTTTGATTTCTTGATTTTTTCTTCTTACGGGAAATTTCAAATTTCTATCATTATTATAATCTAGAATTAAGCAAAAAAGATGAATTAATTTAAGACAAACTTTTAAAATACTACATAATACTTTAAATATATTTTTGTGATATTTCATTAAAAAGGAGAATTTAATTTACTATGACGCAACTTTTACTGCAATAAATTTATAAAAGCTCTCCTTAAAGCTTCAAGAAGAGCTAGTGAGCTAAACTTATGAGCAGCTTTATAAACTACTGCTTAATGTATGTACTTGGATACTTGGAAAATGGATGCGCCTAAGCAAACTTTTTTAAATTTTCTGTCTTATTTTATCTGGTGTCTAGTAAAATTGATAAATAGAAAACTTTTTTTTAAAGCTTTACTAACTGAAAAAATAACATATATGGAAAAAAGTAAATTTAATTCTACTGCGTGCTAAACTTTTGAGCACTATTGTATATATATATATATATATATATATATATATATATATATATATATATATATATATACATATATATATATATATATATATATATAATATATATACATGTATGTATATATATATATATATATATATATATATATATACATGTATGTATGTATATATATATATATATATATATATATATATATATATATATATATATATATATATATATATATATATATATATATATATATATATATATATATATATATATATATATCAGGTTGTTACAGGAAGCGTTTGCAGCTGTATGCCTTGACTGTCCTTGCATAAAATATTTTCTTTAGACAACTTCATTATGGGTGTTTGCATGTTTTGAAATAGTATGTGTTTTAAAAATTTGATAAAGATAAATAAAATTTAAAGTAAATTAAAGATAAAAAAAACAATTAAAATAAGGGGAAAAAAAAATATTGATAAATTAAAATTGTAAATTAATAAAAATAAAATTTAACTAAAATAAAACTCAAATCTAAACGTTTATAGTTTAGATTTGAAATAACTTTGAAACATTGATTTTTTCTAACAATTTCATATTACGGGAAACAAATTACTTTTGATCAATGTCAATTTATTAAAATGTTTGTTTAAATTATCAAAGAATAATATATAACTTATTTTTTATTAAAAAAATATGTATTTTTATAATAACTTCACTATTTAAAAAAATTATTTAATTTTTTTATATATTACTTTAAAAATGTTTTTTTTAATAAACTTTTTTTGTAGTAAGCTAAAGAAAAAAGTAGTTAAACCCTTATAACTTATAGCTTATGTATACTATATATATATATATATATATATATATATATATATATATATATATATATATATATATATATATATATATATATATATATATATATATATATATATATATATATATATATATATATATATATACATATGCTGTATATATACACACATATATATTAGGGTGATCCTGCCATCCTTATGTTCTCTGATTGAGCCTGACTTTTTTTTGTGGGTGAGGTTCATTATAAATAGTAAAAATCTGAAGTTTTAGGAAAAATGGACAACGTTTAGTAGTAGCAGATTTCAATTGAAATTTCAAGATTCTCACAACTTTTCAAAGTTGTTGATAATCAGGAGGAAAAACTTAAAATTATCAGCATTAAACTACTGGAATGTTAATAGGAGTATTATATTAATAAATGCACCTTATAATATTATTACAAAAAATCTTAAAATATGGTTAATTTAATAAAAAATGCAGTTCAACAGTTTTATCCAAAATTTTATTTGATTTTTTGTTGTTGATTGTTGTTATTTTACAGATACATTAATTTTAAACTTTTTTCAGATGGATAAAAATAAAAATATTGACAAAGTAGGTGGGTAAAGATGGCTAAATTTAAAGATCCAAGATATTTTATACTTGAAACCATCCCTATTGAATCTGATAAGAATATGCAGGGATCTAGGCTACCAACTGCTCGTCAGGTGCTTTTATGTTTTCTGGGACACTTCACCACAAAATCTAAGAGAGGTGCTGCAAATAAAACAGTTAAATCAGTTCTACTATTTTATAATTGGGCAAAAATAAAAAACATTAAGTCAAATAAAATGGCAGAAGAAATCATGGCATTATTTGAGGAGTTGAAAAGTCTGTTAAAAACTAATCATGCCCATAGAAACACTGACAAGAATACCCAAAAAATTATAGGATTTAAAGACAAGCTAACAAAAACAATGAGGTTCTGGTCACGAGATGTACTAGATAAATTGGTTAATGCAGAAGATTAACAGTTTTTGATCAGCATGATGACTGATAGGAAAGCATCCATGGGCTGAGTTGATCTTAAACTTAGTCTTGTTGAAAAAAAATTTCATGACAGAAGGTTTGCTGAACAAGAAAGAATCTATAAAGAAATGGAAAGGCAATCAAATATCTTGAGATATTCTAAGAACAATTTAATGGAGATAGACAAAGGTTGTCTTGATCATGATGAACATGGATGTGTTTATGAAACTAAGCAGCATTCTCACAAAAGAAGCAACAAAACTGGCACAACTCTGTTTATACCACATAATAATCTGAAATCACCTAAAGTTATTAAAACAGCTGTTAGGAACAAGATTACACCTACTGCACTCAGTTCTTTATTCCACTCAATAATTTGGCCACTTCTGGCGATTCTTCTAGAGTTGTATATATATATATATATATATATATATATATATATATATATATATATATATATATATATATATATATATATATATATATATATATATATATTATATATATATGTATATATTATTATTATTATTATTATTATTATTACTATTTTTATTATTAATTATAATAGAAATAGATTAAAATAGAAATTTATT